AGGGAAAGTAAATTCCTCCAAAGTACCTTAGTACAATAACTCTACCTTGGTGGTGTTGTATTTCTGTTGTTGAGTACTGAATATGGCTGAAGGCACATACTTTTCTGCCGCACTGGCTATCTTTGTGAGTGTACTCCGCATGGGGTACGATGGGGTAATCTATTGTGCCCTGTTTAGAAGAAGATAAAACCCAGATAATTAAGTCATTCATTTATCTGAGTGGTTTTATCTATCACCAGTTAAGTTAAATTATGAATATTATTAATTTCTAAAACAATATGTTTATTACAATATTCTGAGGCCCACTTGCACAAAAATTCTTAATTCAAATTAAGATTTATGTGGTTCAATCACTTTTACAAATTCAGCGTTTCATTTTTTCTGTTAATTGCATAACCTCCTCGGATTCCAGAACAAAAAGTATTTATTTTGTATTACAACTTATTTTTTTGTTATTATTAGGGATGTCTTTGAGCCGAAAAAAATACATTTCGTCATAATTTCTAGTAAAAATTTGTGAAAATTTAAATTTTCGATTAAAATATTGGTTTAACTGATGTTCTGTATCTCTATTAAATGACAATAGTTCTCAGAGTGGCAGTACATCAGAATTATATATATTAAAATGGAATTTCAGTACTCCAAATAAAAATGATTGAATTATGAAATAACATTTATAACAATGAAATTATAAGTATACTTCACATAAATAATCAAAATCCAATAACAATAAACAATGTAAAACTATTTAAAAATAATATAAATTATCAATTTTTCTAAAATAAATAAAATGAATTTAACTTATTTTTTCTAAAATATAATAAATGTAAGTACTGATTTTTTGAGTTTACTATTCCTAGTCTAGCCAATTCGTAGATTTTAGAAAAGCTGGAAGATATGAGGCATTTGGTCCTTTGTCTTCTTTAGGTTGGTAGGTTTGGTGTATATGCAGCACAATCTTCTTCTTCATTATCAGAGAAATCTGTGTCCAATATCGTCTTCGCAAAACTGTTAAAAGATCTTTTCAAGAACCAATGTAATAAATATATAACATAAACGTATTGTCATAGTTCAAATGGAAAACTAGGGTTTGTTATCAGTATAACATTGTCGCTGTTAAAATGTAAGTATCTCATAATTTTATAGCTTTCATTCATCACCATTTTTTTTATATGTGCGCCGTCAAATTATGTACATTATTACCCAGAACAGACAAAAATCTGTCTGATTTCATATTATACGGACAAAATAAAGAGTTGACTTGTGTTAATTGGTGTAATGTGACGGATGACAACTCTCTCTATTTGGTTGAGTATATATTTATTGAACTTTAACAGTTCCTTTTTATCCGAGTTTTGAAAAATCGGCTCTCATAAAGAGAATTAGAAAATTTCAAACAATAAAAATCCACGGTAATCACCATCTTATTATGTATTCCATTGTTTGTTGTTGTTCTGTGTAAATTTCCCAGGAATTATGCCAAGAGAAAATCTGATAAATCCATAGAACAAAGCAAATACACGCCTCGTTGGATTTCATCTTTTACGTTTTTTGTTAATATAAAATCTAATTAGTTAGAAAGTACAACATCAAAAGTTTATAAAAAGATTTAGCTGTCACCCTATAAAGCTAGAACTACTAAAGCAACTGTTCATATCTAAATTATTTCAAAGTAGCGGCCGCCCTCGACTTAAGCGTAAATTTATATTTTTTTTTATTTCACAGGAACCTAACATTTCTCCGGGAAAAAATCCTTCGTCTCAATCCAGGTCATTAACTATATGCATACCAATTTTCATCCAAATCCGCTCAATATTTTTTGCGTGAAAAAATGAAATGAAATGAAATTATACTTTATTCAAATTGACTTATTGAAAGCTCTTTTAAATCGTCCAATATTTTTGCATACCACCCATTCATGACATCTTTTAGCTGATGAGAAGAATGAGCGCAAGAAACTCATCAGCATTTAACAGAAGTAGCAACATTTACAAAAAAATCATGTCGCTACCGATACAATGTCCACTTACATTTTGATTGCTGTGTTATAAAGTATAAATGCAAACAGTGTTTATATTAGATATAATAAATAACATCTCATGAGTTACTCAGTATAGAGCAGACTCATCCCCACTGGCAGCACCCGTTCACAAGCATGACGCATGAACCAGCCATCGCTTGGCATGACCATATTTTAGGGAACGTAAGGACCCGCCTCACATGACACCACCGAACAGATTTTTAAGAGAGCTTTACTACTCATAACCACCTATACTACACTGCAACATAATATAATAAACTAGCAAACCAGTGAACCAAATGTTCACCAAAAAAAAATGTATTTAATTAATTGAGAACTTCGGAGATTTTGTGCGGTTTCGTTTGAAATAGAAATCACGTGATTTCTCGAAAACCGGAAGTGCTACGTTACTCACATCTGGTTTGTAGTCTTATCAGACTATTCTCAACTTATAACTTAAACATTCTCTTTATCTATCTCTTACGGTTTGGCCGCTGAAACAGCACCACGGACGGACGGACGGACGGACGGACTTGTCTAATAGATAAGAGATGTAGCGACACAGTTGTATCAGCAAAAATATTCGTAGCCGTAGCACCGTAGCCGCATCAATTAGGCGTATCCCTACACGCGGCCTGCGGCCGGTTTTGCCTTGCTTTATCTGTTATCGAGATGAAATTGACATTATTTTGTGACGTGGTTAAATAGACTTTTAATAACTTTTATCCTGTTTTATTGTGGACACGCCAAAAACCCTTCTGATTATAACATTATAGACAGTGCAGTTCTCACATAAATGCCATCACATAAAGACTACCTAAAACAAACATCCATACATAGAATACGACAAAGAAAGCTTTCGTCCCGTTTAATGACATTTTGCACATACACTTAGAGTAGTGTCAGATTTTAAATTGGGCCCATGTGGTGGGTACTGTACCACCCATAGGGAAGGCCTGTCCCAGCAGTGGGAAAATAAATAGGCTGATGATGAGGGCCGACCATTTTCAAAAGTAGCGTTACTGTTACTAATTGTATAAGTGTTACTATTAAAATTAGATTAAAACAGTATCTATAATAAAATTACATGCCGGCTAGTTGTTTTGAAAAACGGAACCGTTTTATATTACAGCGGACGGATTTGCTGGATTGTCATTGCAAGTTGTTTTGAAAAAAGGAGCCGTTTTATATTACAGCGGACGGATTTGCCGGATTGTCATTGCAAGTTGTTTTGATTAAAGGGGCCGTTTCATATTACAGCGAACAGAAATTCCGGATTGTCATTGCAGTACGATCTACAAAACGGCGAGGTTTAGCCCCATTGCACTAATTTGACACAAACCGCCTTATTACATAAGGTTGAATATAGTTAACCCCAGTCTAAAATTGTTGCTGTTACTTTGCTAAAAAGAAGACAGAGAGAGCATTAGCTTTAAATCAAGACTAGCTTTGATGATCATATTACATGAATTACCAATTCCAATAAGAAAAAATATGTATTGTGGTTAGCATTATCTCATGTTATTTTTATGAAATAAACAGTATTTAACTTCATTGTTGTTACAAGCAGTGACACGTGTTTTGAAACGGCTTTACCTGATTATTAGTACTAATTAGCTAAAGAGAAAGTTTAGAACCTGGCCTCACGGATCGTCTTATAAAAGAATGTTTAATGTCATTTACAATACGATGAACAGACAGATTCACTTAGCCCTAATGCAAATAAGCTTACATTGATCCACCATAATACAAACCAACTCTAATTTTAAGACAGCTAGCCAGAGTGTAATACGGCGACATCAACAATTAACCAACTATGTAGAGTAAGTGAGTCATACCAATGAAGGTCAATCTCATAGTTGAAAATGTACTAAGTTTTGATGGACCTTTCGTCAATGCGCTTATATTATTTGAATACAGTGAAAGTGACCCCAAAATTTCCATTAAAGTTGATAAGTCTACTATAATGTAATCAAATGGAAACTAGTTTTAATGAGGGTATCAGTGAACAGCGGTTTTTGGATCACATCAATTCGCCCCTAACTTCAAACTTATAAAGCCACGGGTCTGAAGTTGAGCAATCAATAGACAGGGATACGTAAAACAATAGTTCTTAAGGGTTCTTTCTAAGTTAAAAGTTTATTTTTAATTAATTTCAAATAAATTTCAAGAACTTAATTAAATTGTTAGGTATACCAAAAAAGTAAACAAATAACTTAAAGCGCAGTGGACACAAGCCAGCGTCTATAATAATTGAAGAGGTTGAAACATTTTATTATACTAATAGATTAATGTTTCATCTTCTTTATGTCTTCCAAAATATCTAAACTAACCTAAAAATCACACTAATATTATAAAGGCGAAAGTTTGTGAGTGTGTGAGTTATTAGCATGCAATTCTTCGCGTCTAAACGGCTGGAACGATTTTAATAAAATTTGATATGGAGTTAGCTGACACTTTGGATTAACACATAGGCCATTTTACTGCGGGAAAATATCTGTAATAAAACGCGGGTAACACCGCGGGTCACAGCTAGTACTACTATAAAAATATGAGTACGTAACCACCAAGTAGTTGTTTAATCAGACGTTGAATGATTGTAGTTCAATTAACTAACGACTGGGCATCAAATTGTATGCCGGCGCTTAATTCATCTGTGCCGTTCACGGCACAGATCGGCTAGCTATTTTTAACAAATATCTGATGACATACATGACTTGCAAAAGCTAATTAGGTAGTTTTCTTCTCTTTTTCTCAAAATACAGTGTACCCCAAGCACGAACTTTGACAGATCTGTAATCGTGTCGCCATCGTTAAAGTTTCTATGGAAACTAAGCTAAGCATACCGGACGTAAGAACAAAATGGCTTCTTTCGTAGAAACTTTGACATAATGATATGAATACTGGTCTATCATAGTTCGTACTTAGGGTACAGATTTCAACTTTAATCGTATTTAACGCAAAGTGTTATTTTCAACAGTGGATGACAACGTCCTTAGCCATACGATTCGTCAGCTGGTGCCTGCAAAGTTGGGCAGCTCAGTGGTTTTGAAGTGCGAAGTTTCGCCTCAAATCGGTGTTGTGGAAATAGCGTGGCTTCGAGATGGCCTACCCTTCTCCTCCCGATTCTCTGGAGCTGGTATGTTTGAGTTTAAATAATTATGCTTTTATAAGTAAACCGTTTTTATTAGTTTTTAATCAAGCATTTAACGCCAAAATATTTTTTTTTATAGCCCGGTAGGCAAATAACTCTACCCCACCTGATGTTAAGTGGTGATATTATCCAAACGCTGCTGGTACAGCAGTTATAAACTGCTACACCTACCATTCTCACCTTGCCGGCCTGCAAAAATGCTTCTTCACGCCACTCTTAAAGGTCCCCAGATTGTAGCAAGGAGGGAGGGAACACGCGGGCAAAGAATTCCACTTACGAATAGTACGACAAAGATATGAGTCACCAATTTTCTTTATATTTCAAATCCAGACTTCATTCTACATACCTTTGAGACAAGTTGATTTCTTTTGTTATATTTTTGTTCTTTAGAACTTGCTTTTTCTTAACCGTGTATTTTATTTTAAAATCATGGGCAGACTAGACGCTATGATTTCCTCTGCTGCTAAAGTACCATTGATTTTCACTTTAATGAAGCATTTGTTTTTTTAAATTTTATTTTTCGTCTTATGAAGACGCCATGCATACTACTGTACATAACAATTGAGATATGGTATGGTTGGGACTTGTATGTGCATTATTATTTTGTCATTAAAATGCTAATTTAAACAGATGAAAGCTGAATAATAGCACTAATTGACACCACTAAAGGATTTATTATAGTGGAAAAAGTATTTAAATATATCGCACGTCACAAACAAAAGGGTAATTAAGTCGGCAAAACCATTTATTTTTTTATTTGAGTTTCGAAAACTAAGTTTTTTTCTCCATAAACTGGTAATATAATTGTATTTTAATTCGATATAGTTTTTGAATTAAAGCAACACATATGGTCAATTTTTAGGCAATATTTATGATTGTGAGTATTCTTAACAGTATTACTCGTAAGTTAAGTTAATACCCTATTGCCCGTTCGGATTAATACAGGTTTGAAGTTTTATTTAAAATAATACCTTCTGGCCTGTTCAATTTTATTTAACATGTTATTTACAGCGAAATTATTTTAAAACGATACTAGTTGTAATTTTAACATGAGCCATTTGAACCATTTGAACAGCTTATTCTCTTTACCCAGTTACATAAAAATACTTTTAAAATAAAAACTACTATTGATACACTAACTTAACTTACTCAACACAAAGCAGGATAATTTACGTTTAAATCAAGGTATCATTTTAAACATTTGAACAAGTTTTTTAAAACTTCAAAACGCGATATCTCAAAACACTGTTTTTGAAGATAATACCCTTTTGTTTCTGACGTGCAATATATAAATTAACAGATTTTTATTATGAAATGTATAATAAACAAATATCTCAATACGTTATCTAGTAAGACCATGATTTAAAATTCTGGATAACTCACAACAGTTATTTAGCCTCGTATTAAACAGATATGGATAACGTATTCATATATTATGCAAATACCACGAACTGTTCCATTGATATCAAAACAATATTGATTACCAGAGATACCTATTTCAGATTCACGGTGGGTTTCCGGTGCGGGGGGATTATTGCTCGGCTCAGATTTAACCCAAGCTGACACGCAAGCCGAATTCACATGTGTAGCTTTAGATGTTCTAAGTGCGCCTTTAAAACTCACAACAGATGGTGAGCAACTTGAGTATGATTTACTAGTACAGATTTGGTAGGCAGCAAAACCAGCCCACCAATAGTATTGCTTTGCTGAAAAGCTAGCTAAATTGGTGTACTTTCAACTCGCTTGCTGCTTAGCTAACTTGCTTTGTGGCATGAAAAGGCAGCAATGTTAGAATTAACATCGCAGTTTCAGCAACTGTTTTAATACGTTTCAACTTTATTTCAGATAGCAGTTGGTTGGAAAATATCGAACTGAATTCGATTGAAGCTAAAGTTGGAGACACTATAGTATTACCTTGTCTGATGCGACATGTTACCGGTCATTCTGTAAGGTAAGCTTTTGAATAAAAGAAGTTGTAGGTAACCCATCCAAACCCTACTGCACATTAATGAAGATCTATGTAATTTACCGTTTTTTGCTATCAATGTTAATTTATTTGTCTAGTTATTGTACCCTTAACAATACCTTACATTTAAAAAGAAACAATAAAACCTTCCATCTAACGGAATTGCTAAACGCAAAGCAATGACATAATAGAATTAAATATAAAATTTAAAGAAACCACTGACTATAGTTTATGTAAAACTCTGATACATTTATAATTATCATGTATTGATAATTCCGAGTAGTCCTTAATTAAGCGCATACTACATATTACTAGATGCTTATATAAGCACCTATAGAACCTTAACTGTCAGTTGGCAGCGGCAGGATGCAACTGGTACCTGGATATCAGCAGCCGGCGAAGCAATGGTCAAAGATAGAGCCTTAGTCTTCCCTAACGTCAGAGATCATCACGCAGCCAAATATTCTTGTTCTTCGGGGTCCGAATCATCTCAAAGAATGACTGTTCGATTGGTGGTGTATGAGCCGCTTTCAGCCACAGTTAGCCCTAACCCCTTGGTAAAAAAATATTTCTTTATACCATGCTGCTTTGCATGATTTACTCATAAATTGCTTTTTAATAGCCACTAAGTAAAAAGCTAACATGGCACGTATTTTGATACGACACAAAATGATCTTGCTTTTACGTGTCACTTTATAGAGATCACACTTTGCTGATTCATATTCTAACTGCAGATGCTAGGCACAGGAGGATCAGGTCATTTAAATTGCTCGGTGCAAGGTGGCCGCGGTGGTGGAATTACGCTAAGCTGGCAGCACGAAGGTCGACCGCTTCATGCTCCTCAGGCACGCCTATCCCTTGGCCCTGTTAGACCTCACCACGCAGGGCTTTATCAGTGCACCGCACATGATCACTCTGAAACCACTGTCTCGGGCGCTGATGTTGTCATAGCTGGTAATATTGTTATTCATCTAACACCATGCTATTAATGAAACAGTGACTCCTTGGCACAAGTGAAGCACATCCAATGTACGAAACGGGTGATTCTGCGTTTCAGATAGGCCTCCCAGATTGGTTTCAACATTTAGTGAAGCTGTTGCGAGAATTGGTCAAAGTATAGCTTTGAGGTGTGCAGCTACAGGGATACCAGCCCCCAGACTTCTCTGGACCTTAGATGATAGACCGTTGCCAGCTGCTCCTGATAAGTAATAATATATTTAATAAAACAGCACTTTACTCCAGCATTTTCTTCGTAAAATCATAATGACAATGCATCTTGTAGATATATTGTAAGTACGCGCGCAGAATCTTTACCCGGAGGAGAAGAAGGGGCTATAGTATCGACACTGAGCGTGACAATAAGAACAGCCGATGAAGGCGGTAGATATGGGTGTAATGCAACTAATTCGAGGGGGTCTCATGCTCATCATGCAAGGCTGAATGTTTATGGCAAGTACATAAAAATATAATTTCTAATTTATAACGCAGAACTTTTAATGTCAAATTGATATTATAAATTTCAGCGAATAGCATAAATTACATTTTGCAGAAAATCCAGACATTCAAACGTCTAATTTTGTAAACCACAATCAACTTAAGGCTTAAATTAATATCCACAATAATTAACAAGCAGAACCATCATCAGAATCGGCTTTTGGCATACGTATATTTAATTTCACCTTATTTATTTGTCTATTATATATAGTGGCTGACCGGCTAAGATAAGATTTCCACACTAACCCGACCTAACCCACAAAGTCCAAACACCGACTATGCTTAACGAATTTAGGCTAAGTAAAATTTTGCCAAAGATAATTATGCCTTAATAAAATTCTGCCCTCTTAAAAGTATGTCATTGTGAATTCAAACATATAAACATTTGGCCATACGATATATTTAAAAAAATGTGGCCTACAAATATGTACTAATTTAAAGAAAATTATGCCAAGTGTGTTATGCTAAATGAATTTCGGAGTAATATCTCTGCCAGGTAAAAGGTACCCGAAATATAACTTTCCTTGTTTACATTTTTATATACCTACCTATATTTCCTTTTACAGGTCCTCCTAATATTAGGTATTTAGCTACAATTCATGTAAAGACTGACACTGATGTAACTTTATATTGCCCTTACTCTGGATATCCAATAAAGTAAGTATTCTTAAAAAATATAATTGTTTTTTGGATATGCTATTTATATTAATTTGTTCTTTTGTTTTAGAGAAGTAGTTTGGCGTCGAGACGATGGGTCGTTAGTTGATATTACAGTAGAGCCAGGTGATGAAAGAGGAATTTTAAGACTGAGTTCAGTAAGAAGTTCTTTAGCAGGTAGTTACACTTGTGAAGTTCGGGCTGAAAGTGGAGAACTAGCTAGGCGATCAGTTCGCATAGAAGTACACAGTAAGTGAAATAGTCCATATCTAAATTAAGTAAGTATTGGACCCATATTCAATTTCTTTAATAATCATATTATTTTCAGAACCACCTAAAATAGCATCATTCCACTTCCCGGAGGAGTTAGAAGTAGGCGGCAGTACCCAAGCTACATGTAGCTTGGTTTCTGGAGATAAACCAATCCAGTTTACATGGCTTAAAGATAATTTACCTATACCCGCAATTTTAAAGGTTCCGTTTTAATTCACTAAATTCATTTGAGTTTTCATAATAATTATATGTGTAAAGATAGGTTTTTTTTATATAAAAATAATGATTTTATATAGGTGGAGCAAAAAAATATGGATTTTTTCACAATAATGATCATTCAAGATCTGCAATCGGCTCACAGTGGAGAATATACATGCAAAGCAAGTAATGATTTTGGTTCAGTTAGCCACAGTGCATCTTTGACTGTAAAAGGTAGTTATGACGCAAATAGTACGTAAGAAGGTGCTGTGAAATTCTGAATAACATACAAAGTAGTCTCTTTACACAGAGCCACCGATGTGGGTATGGCGTGCACAGAACACTTCAGTATCTGCGGGATCAGCGTTGTTATTGCCATGTTCTGCTAAAGGGCAACCATCACCAAGAATCTCATGGGAATATTCTGCAGGTGAAATTGATCGATTAATAATTTTCGATGTATATTGATAGGCGATTTTCAAGTATTGTTTTTGTTGAAGATGGAGAAAATTGGCGACACATTTTGTGGGGCCAATCAGAAGTGACAGATGCTAGCAGTGGATCAGTACTCTCTGATGGTACAGTGTGGCTAAAAACTACCACACCTGAACATGAGGGTTGGTACCGTTGCACAGCGCGAGTCCAACATTCATTTCTTCATCATGTATTTTATCTAGATGTAAGAGGTGAGTTTGAGCTATTTGTTTTTAGTGTTTCAAATCTACGCTGTATTTCAAGGTTTATAAACAAGAGTAATTTTACTGACAGAGCCTCCGAGATTAAGCAGAAGTGGTGGAGGTGGTGAAACAAGATGGGTTGTCAGAGGATCAACAGCTCGCATATCCTGTATTGTCACAGGCGAACCAGAAATACATGTTCACTGGACTCACGATTCCAGACCTTTAGCACTGCAGTAAGTTGTGGTCTTTAAACCTTCAGATGTATGTTTAATGATTTTTTCATTAGCAAACTTTACTGGTATTAAGTACTACTTAGGTTTATACGTTATTGTAGAGGAATGTAGCGCAAAATTGTAGCTATAATAATTGAGTTCATTTACTAATATCAAAATGTAAATGTAAACCAAAATTGGAAGTAATTATAAAGAAAACAGAAAACTAAAGATTCATTTACTGAACGAAATTATTATCTAATCATCAAAATGAACTTACATAGTTTATTTACATTATACCTATTTTGTTAACATTATCATACAGCAAAATATTGTGAACTTTTACCGATGATGTCGGTAATATCTAGAATCGAGCCCTTTGATGGTTATTTTAATACCTCATACTTCGTAAGATTAAAGAGCTTTTCTTTTTGATTACAAAGTTAAAAATTTTAACGTTAATTCGCTCTCGCTACTGAATGCCGACTTGTTAAAACAATACCGTGACGTTGAGCTTAATAAACGCTTTGAGGATCTGTCTACTTTGTCTGAGTCAAAATGTATTTATTTAAATTAAACATTGTTTAGAAACAGTACTAGTTTAATTGGGATTTAGTATTCCTTAGTCAATAGAAATGTGTTCATTATTTATTTTGGATTCGAATTAATTCTCTATGTATTATTTCTAAGATTATGATAAACGTACATAGTAAAATGGAGGAATTGAAATGAGTTTTTATGAATAATATTTTATTTATAATCTTTGGGCCTAGGATAACAAATTTATATTAATCGCTGTTCTTTACTTGACATATAATGTTTTCGTTTTCCCAAATGAAATTATTTCAACACGAAGCTTGAAAGTTGAGTTGAAAAAGAAACAACTGAAAGCTGGAATTTTAAATTCTTAATTTGATGTATAGAAATTATTAACAACCTTGGTTATATATCAACTAAAGATGTGTTGTCGTTGTTTACTACATTAAAAACGTTTTGTTTATTCAGTGGCACTGGTGGTGTGGAAACAAGGGACAATGGTAACGGTGGACTTGTGTCCGAAGTAGCGATAGCCCACGCTGGACCGGAGCACGCTGGTGAATACAGGTGTCTTGCAAGGAACCTCTATGGTACCGATGAACTTCTGTTTCGACTATTCGTGAAAGGTAAGAAATACAGGCAAAACAAGTAAAATGGTGAGATTGGTGAGAGAGAGAGCCCACAAATTAATTAAATAAACCTACTTTCATTTAGATAATTTTAACGAAATTGGATATTTTGTATACCTTTTACCTTGTATCGTTTGTTGGACTTCCGCATGATGAAGCCTGTGTAAATTTAATTAAGTATTTATTATAATTAATGTGTTGTTATTCTAATATCAAATTATTTCAAAACGACTGGTAATAAAACCAGCCGCTAGCTTCTTATGTTTAAAAAAGGGTCATTTCGGAAACTCGCAACTATTAGTACTATCAAAGCAAGGCCAAATCTAGCATTGTTGAAGAGTTTTTCTGGAAGCGCTGTTTAAATAATTTTATTATTGTTATTTTGTTAATTCCGTGAGGGATACGGTGTGATGTATGAATTTGTTGTTGTACAGAACGTCCAAATATTCCGGAAGAAGTGAGGGTATCAGAGGTATGGTCTCGCCGAGCTCGAGTCACGTGGAGGATAGCCAGAGGAGCCCAAGTCTCCCACTATTCGCTGCAGTATCGTCCTCTCACTCGAGACCTAACTAACGCCCCGCTGGACGCTCCGCTACCAAATCTGCTGGACACTTGGGACACACCTGAAGTTCTCAATCTGACACTGGCTAATTCGGACCTGCTCCACGTTGCGTGAGTTGATATTGCTATAAAATACGCAAATTACATATATACATATGTTGTTTCAAATATTAGATTAATAGCGGTGCTATCGTGTCAATATACAATAATCGACATTAACGTTAATTAATAGTCTGATTTTTTTTAAATTCTAAAAAACACTTTAGAAGATTTCAATAAAATGCTCAATGACCTCAGTCGAGTCTCTCAACAAATGAGCCTTAAAATGAACATGAGTAAGACGAAAATCGTGTCTAACGCTCATATTCCGCTCCACCCGGTAATCGTTGAGAAATCTGCACTCGAAATTGTCGGCATATATATATATATATATATCTAGGACAAGTAGTCACCTTGAGTAAGTCCAATTTCGAGAAAGAGGTAAACCGCCGAATCCAACTTGGATGGACAGCGTACAGGAAACTTCGCGATGTCTTCTCGTCCGAAGTACCTCAGTGCCTGAAGACCAAGGTCTTCGAACAGTGCATGTTGCCAGTGATGACAATCGGAGCTGTGATGTGGTCGTTGACAATGGGCTTCACAAGAAGGCTCGGATTCGCACAGCGAGCGATGGAGTGAGCCATGCTCGGTGTTTCTGTACGTGATCGAATCAGAAATGCGGATATCCGTAGAAGAACTCTACTCGAGTTCTTCGAGTTGTTCTAACCGACATAACTAAATGGATCTCCATGCTAAAGTGTCAAGGGGCGGGGCACATTGTTTGGCGAACTGATAGACGTTCGGGCCCTAATATGCTTCAATGGCGACCTCTCACCGCGAAGCTCAATGTCGGTAGGCCCCTTACCAGGTGGACTGACGACATCAAGCGAGTCGGGAGGACCCACTCGATGCGGAAACCTTAGGATCATTGTGTTTGGAGATCCCTAGAGGAGGCCTTTGTCCAGCAGTGGACATCCATCGGCTGATTATGATGATGATGATATTGATGACAATATTGATGACAACCATAATAAAAGTTAACAGGTCAATTAATTATTGGTTACTGCGAATTAAGATTTATTAAGTCATCATTCAACGACTGTATTTGTCAGGAACAATGAATTAACGTGCCTAACGAAGCAAGGAGGAACTCGAGATAGTTAATTTTTGGTCACCCATCCGATGGCCAATCATTGCGAAAGTTGCTTAACTTCCACTATCGCATGCTGAATGCGCTAACCACTTAAACTATCGAGCTCCTCTTAGGGTACACGTCCTACTCCTACTTATTGTTTATTTTCTCGTCCTTTGATATCACGTTAAGATTTTGTGAACTCGAGACCTGTAATCACGCCACGTATAGTTGCCTGCTACCTACATATAAAATGTGAAACAGAAATAAATTACTATTCAAACTAAGTCATTCGTCTAAGTATATGAGTAAATATAACAGTCAGTGGCTTTACCAATGGTTGTCATATATAAAACGGCTGCTAAACTGTAACTTGAAATAACTAAGGCTACCTAATGCCACAAAAATATTTTTTTTACCGTGTGAAATTCGAGACTTTTATTATATATCTACGCAAATAAATCTCAGACACTAATCAATACTAGATTGTATGTTGTAAGTTTACAATAATCTTCTGTTCACGTAATTCTGCTCCACTGGGTATACTGAGTTCAAATCTCGGGAATTCCAAATTATATCGGCTAATACAGATTTGCACTATGTCTCGCGAGCTTACATTGAGGTTATGAATATTAAAATGCCTTGGAGGTTACGATTCCTCTAACAACTAAAGTTACGTAGTAGCATTAACTTATTATTCCAGGATTGCAACACCAAATTGGTAATAATTTAAATTGCTGATATGCCAGTTTTTGATCCCATTTCATTAGGATTTAGTTTCTTATGTATTTTATATTTGCACAAAGTTACAAAGTATTTTTTTTTTAGAAACGATTATTGAATTATTTAAAATGTTACATAACAATAATAAATATACTTACGGTTAAAATTATCCGAATATCAATTTATAACTATGAATATGTGAAATAAAATGGTGCCTTTAAAATATTTATTTTAACAATGCAAACGTTATACATACCTATATTTTTGGTAGTTTCTAATAAAAGTAATTTTAAAATAAGTACAATGTTCACTGCAATAGCCTAGCCTCCATACAAAAATATAAAATGTTCTTTACATCTTCCATCAATATAGTTCCCAGTGAGCTCAATACTGAGATCGCAGAAGTTAAGCGATTCTATCAATGGCCGTTTATAAGATGGTTGACCAAAACTTTTTTAAACATCTGCAGTTTTCTGTACTTGGCTCGCGTTATGGGCAGTGGCCAGATCACTCTATTTCATCCATTGGGACGGTTTGTACCCAGTTTAGCTAATAAAGTAAGAAGATATTTAATCCAGTTTCTCAATTTTCATTGCTCTTGTGTGTATTATTAGACTACTAGCTCTGCCCCGCGGTGTTACCCGCGGTTTATTAAGGATATTTTCCCGCAGTAAAATGTAGCCTATGTCTTAATCCAGGGTGTCAGCTAACCACATACCAAATTTTATTTAAATCGCTTCAGCCGTTTAGACGTGAAGTAACAAACATACACACTCACAAACTTTCACCTTTATAATAGTTGTGTGATATTAGACTGAATGAGATTTAGATTTACTTATCTCTTTTTACTATATCATAAACAAGGTTGCGGTAAAAATCTTTCATTAAATGCGATGGTTACAAGGGAAGGCACTCAACTTCATTGCGTTTATCCAAAAAGGGTTTCCTAACGCTTAAGACGTCTTCGTATTACCGCGGGGGCTTAAAAATAAATTATCCTCAGTATCGCTGGGTATTTATCACTTTCTTTAAAATATTGGGCGAATGCTTTGGAATAAAGTAACGATAGATATAGACATACAGCTAATGGGGTTCACTGATATTCAGCATACAATCTTTATGCGGTGAAAAATATTTCTTTTTTTCTCCAAAATTACTCGTAAAATTTAAATGGCACTAAATAGATAGGTAACAGCTGATTAAAAATTAAAAAAAAAAACTTAAAATCGGTCTACAACACCCGAACAATGAAAAAACCTTTTAATTTTTTAACTTGTTTGCAAAGGGTTTTAGTAATTACTATATTAATTTTCAATCAATATACCGTGTAATTGAAGGTTTCAAGTATCGATTTTTTTAAACCAAACCGCTTTCATATATTGCAAACTACACTTTTTAGTTTGCATCTCAAGTGTCCGTGAAATTAAACAATTAGTGAAATCTCTAAAAATAATACGTCTTTGTTAACTTCTAATTGAATCTTGCCGAAAAAGCTGACTCGATAATACTTTACTCCTAAATAGCATTACATCTGTATTCAATGTAAAACAAGACAGTAAAATTATCAATGAAAACTAGAACTTAACTTCGGCAAAAGTACCTACCTAATATTTTTGATTAAAGTTAAACAAAATAAGTTGTATCAGCCAATTTGATTCCTGACCTACCAAAAGCTGACTCGATAATACTTTACGCCAAGATAGAATTACATCTGTATTCAATGTACAAACAAGACAGTAAACTTATCAATGAAAACTAGAACTTAATTTCGGCAAAAGTACCTACCTAATATTTTTAATTAAACTTTAACAAAATGACCTATTGAAAAGGCATAAATATTCTGAATATGTAAATACTTATTATAGGCTACTAACACTTAGTTGTAAGTTATATTGTATACTAACATATGGATCTGTGTTGTCTGCCAATAAATGATATTATTATTATTATTAAAAAATAAGTTGTATCAGCCAATTTGATTCCTGACCCACCATATCCCCTCGGCTGTGTAAGTGGATAATTTCTGGCCAGGGTTGAGATAATTATTTTCATATTTTGGGTTTTATTATATGTTGTATTGGTTTTTAATTTATACACCTAATAGTGTTGATTCTGGCATGATTATCTAAAGCTAAACATAAATTTGACAACAGTGTATCCTTGTCATTCTCTATAAAGAATGAAAATCGGAGACTGATGTCAAATTTAGTTTTAAGTTTAGAGAATCACGCCAGAATCGACACTGATATATAGATAAGTTTGTAGAGAAACTTAGAATTGATTTAGGACATAAATGAAGCCTGGATATACATAAGATTTCGAATAATAATAGGAAAATCTCAGATTATATATATATATAGGTATTAACAGTGAATCAAGGAAATGTAAATAACATTTTAAGCTTAATGTCTTAGTAGTAGATCTTACTGCTGTGTTATAAAGGTTGTCATTATAAAATATTCACAGCGATTGATTACCGACGAGTTCTGATTTTTTGCCAAAAACATCGCATTTCCTATTGGCATTGGAGCGCCTGTCTGTTGGTGTATCCTTCATTTAGAAGTGGTTATTTTTCTACAAAGGCTCGCAAACAAGTATAAGACACACCTGATGGTATGCGGCCGCCATAGGCTATAGACACTTGGAATACTAAAGTGTCACTAGCACCCTGCCTACCCTGAGCCTATCTTCTACCCCTTGGAGTCCTAGAACTTTTTTCTCCAACGCCTACAAAAGGTAATATTACTTTCCTGTGATTTTCTGCAAGCTTGTGGTTACTTTCCCAGACGGGCGCTTCGATTTGTGCTGCGATCCGCTATGTCCTACTTCTCTTGCTGCAATTCTATTTACCTAACCTGTCTTAAATTGCGTGTTGTGTCAAGTTGTATCGAATGCACCATTGACTTGCATCATCAATGGTGCATATGAAACAGTTTGTTTTCGTTTGCACCATTAATATGAATACTGCTTTTTCCCCCTTCGTTCTTCGTCATACAAAATAATGTGGAAAAAACAAATGAATGCTGAATAAACAAATATACTCCAAATCCTCGATTATCTATCTTTATATATATAACTAGCTGACCCAGCGAACTTCGTACCGCCCTAAAAAAATAGGGGTTGTCCAGCGGACAAAATTGTGAATCTAAACCATTCTCAGATCCCCTTGAACACACACAAAAAATTTCATTCACATACACACTCACAGAAGAATCTTTATATATATAATTCTTCTGTGAGTGTGTATGTCACTGAACTTCTCTTAAACGACTGGACCGATTTTGATGAAATTTTTTGTGTGTGTTCAAGGGGATCTGAGAATGGTTTAGATTCACAATTTTGTCCGCTGGACAACCCCTATTTTTTTAGGGCGGTACGAAGTTCACTGGGTCAGCTAGTATATGTATATAAAATCAATTGGTGTTCGTTAGTCTCGCTAAAACACGACAACGGCTGAACGGATTTATCTTATCTTGGTCTTGAAATGTTCGTGGAGGTCTAGGGAAGGTTTAAAGGGTGAGAAAATATGGAAAAATTGCAAGGAAATAGTAAAAACGTCAATTTCATTTTCCAATATAAACTGTTCTATCTTCTTTCTTGTCAAACATTTGACATTCGTCCCTTTTGGTACAGTAGACTCGGGTCCGTCATTTCTTCCAAATTATTTTGACCGCGGTAAAGTACGCTGGGTCCACTAGTGTGCAATAAAAGTTTCACTCATTGTTATTACGACAATTTTTCCATCTTGATATTGTGATAACAATTTAAAATTAAATAATACATGCAATAATAAATACCGAATTATATGACCGCATTTATAGTATAAGGGCTCGCACACAAAACTAAGATGCGATGCGATACGACGTCGCATCGCAGGAACTTGCGGTGTGAATTGCTGCGATACAATTACGTGCGGCAGAGCTTTGGTAAAGGTACTTACCATACCTTCAACGGTAGTCAGCCACATTAGACGTATTTAAGTAGTAGTGACATGGACCACGATCGGAAGATTGTTGCACTGCCGTTATAATTAAAAGATAAAGAAGAAGATTTTTGGTTTATCCATTTATTACGATAAACCAAAAATCTTAATATATAATATGTTATATATATGTAGTTATTTAGGTATATTTATAGATGTTAATTATTATATTAAGTAACATGTAGTTTTATGAATTTAATTTTGTTTTTATTTCTCTTTAACTATATATAATGCTTTAATTTACTTGACCGCATAATGTCTCTGCTTAGCCCGATGGTTGACTGGTAGAGAATGCCATGTGGCATTAAGTCCGCCATTTGTAACAAAACAATAAAGAGTAAATAAATAAAATAAATAAATAAATGAACGCTGATGGTAATTATTTTACTCGAAAATACTTTCGTTTGAGAACAGAATAAGATATTATTATAATTTTATTATTATTATTTTAGAATTAGCTTATCTTCTGGTGTGCTTTTGAGGTTATTATCACATACAAGCCCAGTCTCAGAGCAGACTAAAATGGCATCACCAAGTGTCACACTTGCATATAAATAATATCGCAAGAATGCGCGATGCGAATCAGATCGGAAGTTCTTGCGATGCATTCGTGCGAGCTCGCAGATATTTGTGGGAGCCCGCTGAATTCGCAGTAATGTGTGAGAACACTAAGTATCATCACAATGGTGCAGATGACATTATCCATGGGTACTGGTTCGTTTGCACCATTAAAACTAATCAGTTTCATCTGCACCATTAATAGTGCAAATCAATGATGCATTCGGTACAACGGCATGAATTGTTAGATTAGTTTCTCCATATCGCACAATATTCATCTGTCAGATCGGAAGGTCCAGGCCGAGCCGGGGCGTCAGTGTCTGGGCTATCTCCGGATACTCGATATGCACTCCGATTGGCTGCTTTCAATGACATCGGTGCTTCCGCTTACACGGCACCCCTGCACTTCACTACTAGGGAGGAAGGTAAATATATTATTATAGCTATCTCGTAGGATGATATTAGGTAGGTAAGTGGGTAGGTATACAACATACCAAATTATAAAATATCTGCCGTATCTTTTTTCTCTGTTAACTTGGAAGTTTGATTTTATCACAGCTTCTTTTACAATAGCGCTTTTTGTTTAAAAGAATTAAGCAAACGTTAATCGACGGTCTGACAGACCAATGCGCGGGTATATACAAAGGTTAACAACATAAAATTTATGTTTACTTTCAATGAAGTACTTATTACTTTTTTAGCACCTGGAGGAGCTCCTAGGGAAATCTCAGTTCGCGCACTCAGAGCACGTGAACTACATGTCACATGGCAGGTAAAGATATCATTATTAATTTAAGTAAGTAAATCAGAAAAATTATCACACCATAAAATATAATACGCTAAAAACTTGACTTCGAAGCTTTTAATAATACCTTTTAAGCTTCTGATGAAATGGCTCAGGCATAAAATTTACTTCACAAAGAATTAGATACACCATTAAGTAAAGAACTCCGATCAATCTGTAGTGCCGTTTTGCAGCCTCCGCCGAGAGAAACTTGGCACGGTACTCTGCTTGGCTACACGATAAAATGGTGGGAGGTTTCTGAAGAAGGGAAAGGGATTGGTGACAGTTCCGGGTCAGAGAGCGGTGCTAGTGCAGATTCGACTAGCACAACTATTAGAGGGCTGAAAGCTGCCACGAGATATGGAGTATCTGTGAGAGCATACAACGCCGCTGGCACCGGCCCTATGTCGACACCACACTATCGACACACCTTGGAATCACGTAAGTAAATTTCTCCGTCATAAGCAGTTGATTTTATGTATATGAAATTTAATAAAGAAGGATGGGCGAAATGTGAGTACTGACCAAACATGTCATCGGAAAGCTCTTTTCACGACTATTATTTGGTACTCCTTAGTACCTTGGAGCTAGCCTCAATTGACTCTGGAATAATAGTTAAAGCTAAATGAAAACTAAAATAAGTCTAAAGAAAAGTTTACTAGAAAAAAACCCACGCGCAAAAAAAAAAGTCTTTTATTTCTGTTCTTTTTTGGCTACAACTATTTTCTCACAGCGAATTGTAACTAGTCTCCATAGTAACATATCATATGTTACTAGTATCATAAGAAGTGCTGTCTAACAACATACACCTGATCGTTATTGGTTGGTGGGTATATGTCCCATACATATCTGCCCGTTCTCAGAACACGACTCGATGGATTAACTCCACAGCTACATCTTCCATTGTTAACATTGACTTTATGAACTCTCCAATGTTAATATCAAAGCTAGTTGCAGAATTTAAACCAGGATATAACAACGATTAATAAATTATGCAGCAAAATTAATATGCAACACTCCTCCGTGGCGGAACTTCAACAAGTCTCCAGCAAGTTTGTCACCATTTCGCGTAAATAAATCCCTCGGCTATCGACGTGAAGCTACGATCGTAAATTTCCCTATCAAAATGCAAAATGGCTTAATTGGACTGTGGCCTTTCCGATGTAGGTCAAACGATTCAGAACAAATTGATAGCACTTTTGTTCACTGCCTTTGTTTCGTTTTTATTAAACGAAATACGAGTAACTATTAAGGTGCCGGTTCAAATCGTATTCAAATTAAAATACTCTTTGAACAACCGCTATTTGCTATAATAGGGATAATACCAGGGTGAAGTAAACGAAATTATATTTATTAGTCTGAACACAAATAACGGTAACTTGTTTCCCCCGGACCTCTGTGAAGTACAGACGGTTTTTACTAAAATACTTAACGTTTGAAGTTTTTTTCATCATCATCAACAACCCATGGTCGTCCACTGCAGGACACAGGTCTCCCCAATTGCACGCCACTGCTCCCGATTTTGTGCTACTCTCATCCAGCCCACTCCAGCCAGCCTACGAATATTATCATCCCATCTTGTCCTACAATACGTTTACCGACTTTTTTTTATTTTATTTTAAATATGAAATATAAATAAAAGTGTGAATAAATAGGAGTGTATAGGATCGGAGGAGTTCTCATTTTGTCTCAGTGAGAGTCCACAATAAACACAACGAGTGCGTGAGTAGGATATCTATTTATCCACAAATACTATTCAAAAATATTCTGCGTAAGCGCAGACCACGCCTCACGTAAAAAACGAAGCGCATTACATTAGAAATATCGCGCTAAAATATCTTAAAGTTATGTATTAGTCAAGGAGAAAATTATCAATCACATCCAGCCTTTATTAGGAAAGACAAAGACTTTCTCCTGTTCTTGATATTATCCTGGTATATTTGATAAATACCTTTTCAAAATTTGTCTGAAATAGGATGTTTCCGAATTGGAGCTGTGCAGACTTTGGACAGGGTTACAAAAGAGACAAAGAATGTGTGAGAAGGATACCAAATAATTAACGTGATAGAGGAAAAAAAGTTAATTATCATCCCTATTAAACAGAGAAACTTATCTCACACATAACATCAAATATTAATATTTGGAGGAGAATTTATATTTACTTGATAATTAATTCATCATGCATTTATTCATTGACATCGTTTATCGTAACATTATATTACTCTGTACCCCTAGCACGAACCATTATCGAATGTTTGTTGAATAGTTTGCGAGTGCGAAATATCAATGTCAAATTTTGTATGGAAACTTGAACAGCAGCGCCACAAAGTACGTAACGAGAACTAAAATCAGTACAGATTTGACAATGACATTTCGGACTCGCAAACGTTACGAATTCGATATTGGTTGTGCTAAGGGTACTGCACTGATTAGCTATTTATTAGGACAAAGTTCTTTTTCGGAAGGTAAAGGATTTAGCGGATGGTATCCCTAGCCGGGCGGGCCAATAGTTTCGGATTCTATTGTGTGTAGTTGTGTACTTATACTTATGTTTATTTTTTACTTCGTTCCAACCGACTGTTTTTTTCTTTGTAACTTTAGCACCAACAGCTGGACCTGAAGGCGTGAATTGCATATCTAGTGGTTCAACCTCTTTGAGGGTGTCATGGCGACCGCCGATATTAGACGCAAGGGGAGGCATAATCACTCACTACACATTACAATACACGAGGAGAGACGCTGACCCTTTGCTGCCATCTCAAGATGCTTATTTGCGAGTTCAGGTGAGAAAAGCTTAGGACAACGAAAACAAAGTTTCATCCTAATATGGTACTTGTATACAAGTAGAAAACAAAAAGTTTCTAGTCGCCTGATTTTTTTTTAATTAAGAATCAATAATGGTCCGGTCACAGAAAATACATATCTACTGGCCACCACTGAAAATAAAACAAAGGACCATAAAAACTTAAAATTTAGTATGTTTTTATTTTTTAAGCATTTAACTGCTAGATGTTTAAATCTAAAGAAAAGTTTACTAGAAAAAAACGACGGGTTGCACTCCGGGAGTGCCGGCAGAAGTGAAAACTTGAATATTAACGTTATGCATTTTTGATATTTTGGCATGGTTAAGGAATAATTTTGCACGAATTTCTTTAATTATCAGTATAAAAGTACTATCATTTATGTGGTAGAATACAATATTTATTTATTGCGCTATCGTACACAAACATGACAATTTATATTACATTAAAAAGTTTATCTCAGAATTTCTCATTTAAGCGCACCTAGCGACATCTATTGTAAAAAAATGCATTTTCTTCACAATAAAGCTGTCACCTGGACGTCCTTAATACAGACTTATTATTATAATACGATAAAATAAAATATTACTATGATTTGCCCATTATATTGAAAGTCAACAACCTTTCCAATTTTATTGTTTTCGTCTTACGAATTTTCGATTGCAAGGTGTCCGGATGCGATCAGGCCACGTGTCATGACGCGAGTTTAACAGTTTTTACCCATTACAAAAAAAGTGTACAACGCCGCTAAAGAAGTTTTCACTTCAATATCAACTTACATGAATCACATAAGCGCACCTAGCGACATCTATTGTAAAAAAATGCATTTTCTTCGCAATAAATAGATAGAGACTTAGTAATATTAAAAGTCAACAACCTTTCCAATTTTATTGTGTTCGTCTTACGATCAGGACACGTGGCCTGTGATGCGATCAGCCCACCTGTCATGACGCGAGTTTCATTTTTTACCCATACAAAAAAGTGTACATACAACCCTGCTAAAGAAGTTTTCACTTCAAAAATCCCGCGAACCAGGTACGTCCCGTCTGGTGCCTGGTCCGCGTGGATTTTTTTTTTCTAGTAAACTTTTCTTTAGATTTAAACTTAAAATTTGTAATAATATAAGGATAAATCTAGAACTAGCAGATACAATGTAAACTGATATCACTTAGGGCGTAGAAGCAACAGTGTCTAGACTAACACCGTACGCGGAATACGAGATCCGAGTACGGGCACACAACGCGGCGGGCGATGGGCCATTATCCGTACCGCAAGTTTGCAGGACCGACGAAGATGGTAAGCATTATGTTACTCGAAACCGTCGCAGTGCAGTTCACCCCATTGTTTGCACAACTTTGTCAAATAATAGTCCTACGCTTAATACCTCCAAAACTTCGACGGACGGACTAGATAAATTTAAATTTATGTTTTTCTTCTTGTGTAAACACCAATAAGGATCTTTACATACTCGGTAACCTTATTTATATTAGAATATCATTTGTCTTTTCAATTCATGTAAAATTAAATGTAATTCTTTAGACACGGAAGAAATATCAAGTATCCAAAACGGAATATCAAATTATACGGGTTGATCTTGATACATAAGTGTTTCATTATTTCATTCATTATGTTATTAAACTGTTTTAGGGAATACAGCCACATTAATGGATACTCTGAAACATATTGACTGTTCGCTACCTATTCTGCCTTTATTAGAATTTGTATTGTGCTTTTAGTACCGAGCGCTCCAGGTGGTATGAAATTGATTGCTCTCAGCGATCGGTCGTTACGAGCGTCTTGGTTGCCGCCTCCGGAGCCTAATGGCAAATTGACGCATTACACACTTTACGTCAAAGACTTATCAGGGTGAGTCGTTGGGGTGTTATTATGTTTTCCTTTACCTAGGCGTGCGTTTCTTTTACAGTTGTTTGGTTATTTGTCAACAGTCATAGACTGTAAAAGATAGCTTTTAAACAGGTTTTATTAAGCATTTTGCATTCTGTTTTGCTATTATTAATTAGTAATATCTGACTTGTTGTAAATGTGATAGTGAGTAATGAATTTTTTTCGGTATCTTTTTTAAAATCTTTTTAAGAAATATTTATTAGGTAAGCAATATATTAAACGAAGATATTTTCATCTAAAGAAAATATAACTAGAAAAAATTGCACGCGGACCAGGCAGCAGACGGGACTCGAACCTGCACCCTTCGCTATCCGGGCGAATGCACTGACTAATTATGCTGCCGCGGCGCTGACGGGTACGGGTTCGAGTCCCGTCTGCTACCTGGTCCGCGTGGAATTATTTCTAGTTATATTTTTTTTAGATTTAAATATCAAGCAGTTACATGCTTAAAAATAAAAATTATAACTATATCTTCATAGTTTCATTATTTTTAATAGATCACAAGAACCAAACGCGACAAGAGTAAATGCGTGTACAGAAAATGATGGGATCTCGGTGGAATGTATGAGAACTTTAAGAGGTTTGAGGGCGGGAAGAACTTATGAAGCATGGGTGAGAGCTGCTACCTTTGCTGGGGAAGGGCCTCCGTCGCCAGCTGTAGCGTGCCAGACTAGCGGATTAGGTGAGAATATTTCGGATAGAATTCTATCTAAACCGTACTCCTATGTAAATTATCACTACGTATGAAATGATTACATAATGTTGTATTCACATTATCCTACTGCCATATTATAAAAGTGAAAGTTTGTTTGTTACTCAATCACACCAAAACTACTGAACGAATTTTAATGAAATTTGGCACGCATTTAGTTTATGACCAAGATTGAGACATAGGATACTTTTTTTTGTTGACGCGGACTAAGTCGCGGGCGGCCTCTATATAAATATATTTCTGTCTCATGATTACTTATATAATAATAAATAATAATAATTGTTTTTCATCCAAAAAGTTATAGAAGGACACTTGTAAATTTTATCAACTAATAACAATAACATAATAACATTAATCTTAATTATAGAGCATCTGTCACCGAACTAGGCATAAACTTGTATTTCGGTATCCAGCGCCGCCATCTTCGAACACACCAATAAATATTATGATGTTATTCTCAGTTTCGTTCTTCATCTGATCAACCTACCAATCAGGGATTAATGACGTAATGTTAATATTAAATAATATGAATAAAATACTAAAGCCTTCTTGGTATTTTTTTTTATCTTTAGTCGACTTTCATATATTATAATTTGTAGCACCAGCCAGAATATCGTCCTTTGGTGGATTGGCAGTCGGTGCTGCTGGCACTTCCATGTCTTTAAGATGTGTCGTTGGCGGCACACCACCACCAGCCAAACGATGGTTAAGAGGTGGAACTCCTTTACATCCACGTCCACCATTCCATCTCGATGGAGACGCTTTGCTGATACGAAGTAAGTAAAGCGATGTGGAAGGCCAAACGCCAAACTCATGTAAAACCGTTTTCTGTTTATATAACTCTACAAATAGTTTGAAATTTTCACGACTACTTTGCACAAAATCTGTTGGCAAGTCAAATGAGAAGCTGACGAAGAAAAATTAAATTTTGGAGCAGTAAAAAAACTGAATGACATACCTACAGTGTGCTTCTGGCGTGTATTTTAATTTAGTAATTCTAACACTATTTTAGGCGGTTATGATTGACATGAGTTGAAATTCAAATTCAGCTGCCCCAAAACCTCCGTGCTTTAAAAAATATAGTATATGGTCAAAACTATATGCGTAATTACACCGTTTTGTTCGCCAGCTCCTCAAATGTGTTTTGTCCATAATACTTTGTTTTGGAGTGTGCATTGACATTGATATGTATGAACATGTGCGTTGTACGTTATAAGTGGTAGTGATCCCCTTTTTGTTATATTCACGAGTGTAGATGGGTAAAATACAAAATAGTATCGTAATTACGTTTCGCAGGAGAAACATGCACTATTTTCTGCTGAAAATAAAAAGTTTTATTTTTTTCAGTAAAATAGTAAGAATAGGTCGTAAATAAGTTTTTTATATTTCAAAAGTACTTATTATATGAATGAAGATACGTTAATTTATGGTGTTTTAGGGATTGTTCCTTCTGTTTCACATTCCTGTCCATGAAACCATAGCTATTATATTATTTAAATTTTATTCATATTCCATGGTGTGTAATTGAGTAAAATGACCTTTTTAGATTTAGATCTCTCTCACGCGGACAACTATACATGCCTGGCGGAGAACCCACATGGATCCGACTCGGTTACATGGCGAGTGGTGGTCTTGAGGCCTCCACCACCTCCCACCTTAGCCCTGATTGAAGCCAGACCAAGGGACCTGGAACTTGAACTGCGTCCGGCTCCGAGGACCCCTGGCCATGCGATGCCTAAAGCTTTTACGCTCCACTGGAGACTGACTACGCCAGAGGTTTGTTCAGTTTTTTTTTCTTAAATTCCATTGGAGAACTGATTTTGGCATGCTTCTCTAAACTTTAAACCTAATTTGACAGACTCTCCTTTTCATTCTGTATAGTTAAGCATGAAAAAGATACACTGTTATCAAAGTTAATTTTGGGTTTGGAAAAGCATGCCAAAATCCGTCCCATTATTTGTCTAAATAAACCTTATCTAAATAAATATCTCTTTCTCGTAACGTGTACCCCTATGGAATTGACATGACGTTTATTAATTTCTTGGTTCCTTCGGAAATACTAATACGAATTCTTTGAAAGGATACAATAAACCTTTTCTATGTAATATTCTAATGAAACTAAAGCTAATTGCAATAAATAAATATTTTGTCTTATTAAGATTTGCCTGGGAAAATCTAAGCAATGTAAAAAATTACATTAATTTTTGCCAGAGAGATACAGTTACATTTTCATTAAGCTTACAGGCATGAAGCTATGTTTTAAAAGTGTCGCTTTTCAATCCGGCTGTTAAGCTTGTAAAAAAATCTCAAGCAGATTTTTAGATAGGTACTTAGGTAGATTTGTGAGATGGGCTCTCATAAAAGTCTTTGTAGGGAGAATGGCGTGTACAATCAGCTAACCTTGGGCCAGTGACATTGCTCGGACTTCGCTGTGGATCTTCATATAAAGCGTATGGAACGGCTGGAGGACCACCAGGTCCTGAAATAGCTGTGCGAACTTCTGGTGGTCCGCCTATTGCACCACCAGACTCCAGGTTTGTTAGCCCGTCGAGTGAAATTGTTACTGTAATTTCTTTTCTTATTAAGTAGTACACTTTGATTATAAAAACCTAGATACCGTATAAACTGCACAGAAGCGCTGAAAAAATGTTATTTTTACGAATTATAGACCAAAAGAGACAAATATATTATTTTGTTACGAAACAGCGTGTGTACAACTATACAAATTTCAAATTGGATATCTTTGGCCTTTGTACGTTTTGTATATACCCTGGTTACCTACCGAATCAAAAAGCGATCTAATGTCAAATGCAACCTGCCAACACGCCACTAATACTTTTGGTTGGGTAATATGTATAGTCTATGCGGAAGAGTACGCTGAAACGTCATTGCATTACTTCTATGCTTCAGCTGGGTAGATGCCTTCATCGCTACACACGCACATATTGACTGCTTTAAAACAATCTGACATTGGAGTCAATTCAAAAGGCATGTATATTTATAATCAAAGTTGCCTTAAATTGTAATGGAAAATGACTTCATGAGCTATCTCAAATTGAAGTCACTTTTCAATTTGACGACTGTTTATAATACAGGGAGAAGAAAACAGCCCTTGTTGAGTTTCTTGCCGGTACTTTTCAGTACAAAATCTCCCGCAGTAGATTTACGAATGGCGTAGCTTTTCGACATTCACAAGTGGTATTTTATATATATTTATATTTTTCAAATTAATTATATTATTCAAGACCAGGGGGCCATTTGCCTATCGGGAATGCTTTGGAAAAAGCTAACGTTTTCGATTTCATTTTGTTATTTCTGACCGCCGAAGGTTTTCAAATACCTCACACTCATTTTCTTTAATATTGTTATTACCAATGCAAAAGAAAAAAAAAGAGCGCGAGGCATTTGAAAACCTCAGGCGGCTAGAAATAACAAAATGAAATCGTAAGCGTTAGCGTTTTCCAAAGCATTTCCGTTAGGCGAATGGCCCCCTGATGTGGATTATGACTCTTTCCAAATAAATAAAAATAGAAAATGTAAAGGGAGGACAAAACTTGCTGAGATTCTTGCCGGTTCTTCTCAGACAAGACCTTCTGGTAGACCCTTTAACCGATAGCATCAAATTTGAATTTCATAAGCATGCAAATTGTACCTAAATGAATAAAGAAATTTTGACTTTGACTTTGTAACAGCCTAGACTGAATAAACGATATTGAATTTTTTAATTTTGAAAGTTAAAGTTAAAGAAAATTTTGCTTAAACTTCTATGGAATACTGTAGGTGGATTCGGACGAATGCAACCCACGCTCGTTTCGACACTAGTGTATGGAACGATGGAGGCTGTGCACCAGTTGCCTTAAAGTTGGAGTGGGCTGGCTCAGGAGTGGCTGGTGCTAGAGACGTACCTGTCGGAGGGGAGGTTATATTAGGTGGTGAGTTAAATTATAATATATTTATTTCACAGGCCATTTATTTTAAATTAATCATCTCTCCCGGTAGACTTGCTAACCGATGGCGTAGCTTTTCGACATTCTCATAAGTAATTGTAGTAGCCTACACTAATTAAACGATATTGAATTTTGAATGTTTTGAATACTTCATAGAATATACAAAATAAATAAATTTATATTACCATCACCGTCTATCTGATGTATGTTATAAAAGTGCCTTAATCACAGACAAGGCATAAACAACCTTTATGTAAAAAAATCTAATTTATTATTTTTAGTTAGTTGTTAGTTTCGTTGTATAAAGTTAAATGACACATAAATTTATGCACAAGGATATTATGTATTGTGTAATGTATTTATTTTGTCATGTTTAAAGTTTTTATCGATTAGGTGATGAGTTTATCTGTTAATTATGAAAACGGATAAAATGTTCTTTCTTCATAACCAGTAAGAAAAACGCGAATAAAAAATCTTCTTCCATAGATGGTTACGAAATACGTCTAAGAAAATGGACTAAGGGGCCATAATTGGGGGCTAATTGCCTAACGTGATTGCTATGGCTATCCTCTACGATTTTTTTTTATTATAAATGACCGCTGAAGGTTTTCAAATGACTCACACGCTCTTTTTATTCTTTTGCATTTGTAATAACCATATTCAAGAAAATGATTGTGAGGTATTTAAAAACCTTCGTCGGACAGAAATAACAAAATGAAATCGTAAGCGATAGCAATAGCCATAGCAATCCCGCTAGTCGAAGAACCTCCTGGGCTGTGTTATATTTTACTAGCGACGCCCGCATAAACTTTATATTTTTTTTTTGCTAAAATAAAAGATTTTTTCCAAAAACAAAAGTAGCCTAAGTTACTCCTTATTACATCAGCTACCTGCCAATAAAAGGCCAATCAAAATCGGTCCCGCCATTTCAGAGATTAGGTGGAACAAACAGACAGACAGACAGACAAAAATTGTAAAAAATGATATTTTGGTGTAGATACCGTATATATATTCATATGCATGTATTAAAAAGCGGTTATTTCAATATTACAAACAGACTCCAATTTTATTTATATGTATACCAATTTTATTTAGATGTACAGATAGATTTCGGTCTCCTAATAGGTTTGACACCTGGCTCGAGGTATCGCGTAGCAGCCCGGGCTACCAACGAAGCCGGTCTAACTCGCGAGGTTTACGAGTTCACCACTTCTCCTGCCGAGGGAGGGCTCGCCGAGGAAGTGGATGCACCTTTCCCTGCCACAGCCGGGGAATTGGCCTTGCTGCTAGCGCTTTGTGCAGCGCTATCTTTGGCTGCTTTGACAATATTAGCAATTCTGCTGAGACGGAAGAGGTGAGTTCTTATTTTATCAAATTATGTTATGCCTGCCCTCGCTTCGCTTCGGTGTAGAGCTGAAGTGTACACTACAGTTTTTGTTCTCAGGCTTGTATTATACACAATGACATTCATCTATCATCTCATCATATTCTTCTCATACCTGCATGCAAAGTCTCAGCCCGATCGGTTTAAAATTGATAAAGTTTCATACAAACTTTCATTCCCTACTTTATCCCCTTAGGGGTAGAATTGATCAAAATCCTTTCTTAACAGATGCCTACGTGATAACATCTACCTGCAAGCCAAATTTCAGCCCGATCCGTCCAGTGGTTTGGGATGTGCGTTGATAGATCACTATGTCAGTCAGTCAGTTACCTTTGAGTTTTATATATATAGACTAGAGTATTTAATGAAGAAGTGGGACTTTCGCTGCTACGGCCAAGGAATGATAACTAACTTTTTTTCTTCGTCTATCAGATAATAATAATCAAAAATATGGTCACGTTTGATGGATTAAAGAGAATTTCCTTTAGTTTACCCTGTCATCTTTCCTATTAGCTTAGCTGGCGGAGTACTGTTATCTTTGACCATTTTAAGAATATTAGTAATTGCCAAACTAAGATATATCTCGATAACTTAAATAGCCTTAATCGCGCAAACACAATGTAGCTTTCTACGGGTGAAAGACTATATTCAAACCGGTTAAGTAGTTACAGAGATTACTAGCTAGAAATAAACTTTTACCTCTTTATATTAAGTACCTACATATTTTACTGAGATGAAAATTATGAGATCCTCTAAAAATAGTTGCCATCAGAAGAAGCTATCTCAACAGATATTTATTATGGGTTCGCAATATTTGGATCAAATAAAGTAGTTCAAAATGGCCATTAAGTTGATGACAACGAAAACAACTAGGTATGCGATCAGCATTCGTACTCAAATCCCAAATTCGAATGAATGTGCTTACTTTTAAATGTCGAACCAAATGTTTTAATTTTTGATAAGAGACGGACGCGTCCCTGGACTATGATAATAATAATAAACATTTATTACAGACTTTAAATCCATAGACAAGTGTTAGTAACAGACGTAATTTTATTCTAGTGTTAGTAAATACTATAAAACAGTGACGGCAACTAATTGGAATTTATAGTTAAGTTAACCTGTTTAAATAGTGGCCCAACGGACGATTATTTTATAGGCTTATAGCAATCTTATTAGAGTTAGTTAACTCATAATAGGGTTGACTCCCTTTTTTTCTTCGCCTATCTGGTTATTTATCAAAAAAAAAATGTTACTTATTTTTTTACACAATCGAAATATTACAGAGATATATTGATTTGAAATGTCGCGTGACATCGCGCTTTCGTACAATTTTTACTAAAAAAAGTGATGTCACGAGTCCCGTTGCCCAAACTTTGACTCCCAATCCAGTTTTTTTAGTTTTTGGTTGATTGTAAAAATAGAAATTTGTCCATTATTTTTTATGATCTAACTGACGGATTTAATATTATTTTTTTTACTTTAAAAAAATTACCGGTCATTTGGACTTTCCAATAGGGTAATGATCCGAAACACACTGCAAAAGTAATAAAAGACTTTTTAAGGAACCAGTCTGTGACAGTTTTGGATTGGCCCCCGTACAGTCCTGATTGAAACTCAATAGAAAAGTTGTGGTACCAGGTGAAGAAGACAGTGGCGACAAAACGGACATCAAACATCAGGCCACGTGTCCTGACGCGAGTTTAACATTTTTTTACCCATTACAAAAAAGTGTACAACGCCACTAAAGAAGTTTTCACTACAAAAACAGAAATAAGACCGAAAATCTAATCATTCATTTGCTGAAGTGTGACCGATTATAGCTTTTATTTTTCACAGTAGGATTTTTATTAAGGATTATAACTAACAAAAAAGAGCAACGAAATAAAGTCGCCAAACATGAACACACAACGGTAAGCTAAAGTTTAACAAATATTTGAAAAATCTCTTTGGTATAGATTTCCTGTTCATTGAGTTTTCCATATTTCCTATTCCTACCTTAACCAACCCAAAAAACGCATATATATCGTGACTGATATAATCTTGAATTTATTTGTTAATCCAATAGAAAGATGACGTAAGATTTTGCCGAATAAAAGTAAAATATTCGGAAAACTTTTCCAATTTTTCGCTCCTTGGGAAGCTAATTTCAACAAGGTGAGTATGAAGAAAATTTTAAAATAAAAAGCTGCTAAACCAGCGTGCCGTTTTCGGGAGATATGAATCCAAATTAAAATATTTTATTCCAATATTTTTTTAAACAAAACGAATGTGTAATCGTTATTACTCCTGTGCAATGTGGCAGTTTTTGAAGAAATCCGTAATGATTTCCCATAAACTTGCTCATTTATTATGAAAATTGTTTGCTTACTTGATATTTCGGGGATTTTGTATATTTTTTGTTACCTATTTTACATAATGTGATGGAAGTTGACCTCAATACATGTTTGCAAGTTTGATGTCAGCTTTCAATTTGACTACACTGTATAGAATAAAACGGGGAGAAAAAGCAGCCCTTTTTGACTTCTCAGTACAAGGTCTCACGACGTAGATATGCGAACTGATTGCGTAGCTTTCGACTTTCACATATTTTGAATTGAATTGTTTAAGTTAAGACCAAATCATGCATATCGTATAAATTTCACAGCAAATACTAAGCCAGAGCTGTAATATACCCAAATGTTAACTAGAGGTTACTCGCATATTCTCTTAGTAACGAAATAATTTATTACTCTATTACTTAATTGAAATAGGGGTTTGCATGCCGTTGGGTATCTATAACTAATAATTTATGAATATTAGATAGAGAGTCCTACAAATCAGTTTTCGATTATAGTATTATTCATTGTGTATATATTCAGTCATTAAATTAGTTATTGTTGATTAAATTCCAAAATAAATCTAATATTGTAGAACTGTAAAAGTTTGTGTATTCGAGTGGTTTGAGTTCAAGGTCTATATCAAATTTGGCACAAGAAAAGCATTTTAAGTACTTTAGATTAACAGAAAATATATTGATAAATTAATATACATTTGGTTTTCATACAACAACAGGTTTTGAAGTGTGTTTTCACGAATTTAATGAAGTCTACTCAACGAGAATAGAACTCGATACGGGCCTAAAATTAAAAAAAAATTATGGCCGTAATACATGCTCATAATATCGCATTGCCCGCGACACGCGTAGAAGCAACTTGTAAGCCAGCAAGGTAAGGATGGCTTAAGTGGACTTAACACTACTACTTAAAATAATGTAGCATTGCATTGGTTTGGAGTGCGACGCCTGTGTTACTGTTATTACATAAATAAGTCATTATAAAAAATAAAGTAGGTGTTACTCTACACGCCGCATATAAGAATGCTCGATCAATAAACTTCACACAGCTATATCGATACCGCATAAAAATGGATCGTAATCACTTGATATCTGCCGCCGACAAGACGCTGACATAGGCTGACCTATCGCCAATCGACCCTTTTCAGCGGCCTCGCGCTTTAATACATCAACATGTGCGAACCCCTTCATCGCGAGTTGTCATCCGTAACGATGAATCGTTCAAGTAGCTCCTGTACAAGTATAACTGACATGCAGGCAATCACTTAAAAATGTTTATGAGTTTTTCCCACATCAATTCTCGAAGGTAAATTTTCATACATTTTGCGCACGTAAGAGTATATTTTTTTATTGTATATGTCGTAGAATGATTAGATAAATCTACTTTTCGCGAAAAGCCGAGGGATGTTACGAAAAGGCGGATAAAAAGATTATGGATTTCCTACTGTTAACGAATTTTTTTGGCGCTTCGCCGGCCGCTGCTACGGCACGCTCGCTACGTTCGCTCGGCTCGCGGTTCACGGTCATAACACTAACCTAACCTAAGCTTGTGTGAACTCGAAGAATATTATAATAAGCCAACGATTCTTTACGCAATCTTACTGAGGCGACTCGCTTTTTTGCAAATATCCTTTCTTGCGTTTCCATTATCAAAACATCCTACGACATATTTATCATACACATACATACACACGTACGCACACACACAATGATTAATTATAAATTTGTCAGAGGATTAACAAAGTCTGCTATTAGTACCTAGAATCATTCGCTTATGAGTGTGCCCACAGAAGGTTTCATTTATGTAAAAACTACATTTTCTACCCATCACCTAAAAAAAATATACACGCTTTTAAAAAAAATATTTATTAGCAAATTTTACAAACTGTAAAATGAACAACTTAAAGTAAATCTAAGCTGCTTTTTTCTAAATTTAAATTTAACATTAATACAATACATTCAAATTTGAATTAACTATCGTTCATCTCTGTAGGTAAATTCCAATCACAATTTTGATTGACGCAATTCGATAGTTATTATAATGTGGAGCAAAATTGGCTTGCACGACCTATTAATACATTCCACGAGACATTTTCAACTCCAGTGATGATAAATAGAGCCAACACACACATCCTTTCGGGCGACTGCGAAATCGAGTTAAATTCATTGACCCAACTCACTTGTCAACCCGACGATGCCCTAACTGACTGACACCATCTTGGCAACTAAATTAAGTATCCGGTATATTTATGTATGACAAAAAAAATCTAAATTTCGGGTGATATCGCTTAATTTTACTTTGTAAATAAAAATAATTTTAGTGTTTTCCAATCCGAAAGTGCCATATTAGTCCACTTTTGCAGGTCTGCCATCTTCTATACATTTGTATGGGATATTTAAATGCTCGTTGTTTTAGAAGTGACGGTGCTGTGGGCCGAGTGGTCACCAACGCAGAGAAACCAACGTGCGGCACTTATCGTGCGTCACCACACCAGACTCCAAAACTGCCGCCAGATCCTCCAGGTAATTGTCTCTAACTACACTAAAAATGAAAACATAAAATATTTTTAATAAAACTTTTAACTGACTTCATTAAAATTGAAAATAAAAAAATAAGATTTACTGACTAATATTATTTGAAGTCGATACCATTATCAAGATCTCCCTGCTAAATACATGGCTTGGTATCGACTTCTAATGTATCAGTTATTTACGCGAGTGAAACCGTGGACACTGCTTTTATTTTTAATACTAAAACCTTCCCTGATAAATACGCATTTATATATCGAAAACCTAATCGGATCAATTAGTTTTTGAGATGATCGCGGACAAACATAAATACATACAAACATACAGGTCAAACCGAGAACATTCTTTTGAACACTGTTAAAAATACAGCATTTTTTAAGTTATGGTAAATTCGCTAGCATTCTGAGATGAATTTACATATGGCGTAGCGGTATATTTTTTCTCTTGCAACTGACACCCCCGTTTCGTTACAGGGCGTTTATATACTTTATAATTTCTTGTTTTTGCACTTTTTATACTTTCTTTGGTAATAGCGCAGTAGTATTAGAGGGCACTGAACATAACTCGCCATCATTCCATTTGTAACGGGTACTTACTAGAGTACGCTAGGATAATAATTATTGCAGACGCGTACTATGACGGCTAGGATCGCTTCTGCTAACATTATTTAAACCATCCTAATGAGAGATTACCATAATATGAAAACCAGGGATGACGCTTTCCCGTTGCTTTCTGTGTTATCAAATAAATAAAATTAAAACATCCAATCTTTTTAGAGTTCATATAACATTATGACACCGAGTTTCTTAAAATCACAAAAATGATCTTAAACTATTTTGTTACTTATTTTAAATATTATTTAAAGGTGCTTTAAGTGTTTTTTCCGTTTTACCAATTGTAAAATATTTGCGAATTACATAGTCCATCGGTTCTCGTATTTATGGAACTAACGGAGTGAATACGAAACGCGCAATTAAGATACAGTTTACGTGCAATAATTTTAATTATATAATATTCTTATTATTTGCAATGTTTATAGCTATGGATACATACGCAATAAAATAACTTCACATCGCCTCCATTGTTTGCGAAATTGCATATTCAGGAACTGCCCAAACTTCACTGAGCCTTCGACCAATCGAAATCTGTTGCTGAGCTAGGCTGCCTTCTCGAGAATAAGCCTCAAAAAAGTTTTAAAGTCGCCCAGCGAGCTACGCTTGGCATTCCTTCTGCGTAATCGAATAAGAAATGAGGAAATCCGTAGTTACCAGTGATTCCGAAGACAAAAAAGAGCTCATTTATTGTACCTATTTGAAATGATAATTATTTGTAGATGTATATGAGATAAGTCCATACGCTACATTCGCTGGCGGACCCGGTGCGATATCGGGCGGGTCACGCGCGTACACGCTTCAACTTCGCGCGCTTGCGCGCCATGACGACGACGCGGCACCCCCGCACCAGCCGTGCTGCGATGGTAAGTTCTAAATTTAAAACTTCTGAATTTGCATTTTTTTTAAACCCTACTTTTTAAGATTCTCCCTTTTCAGGGAAGGCATAGGGAACAATTCCCATACAGTCTAGTCTTTAGTTTTATTAATCTTTTATTATATGCGTTGAACCGTTATTCGAGACCTATAGAGTGAGACAGCATCTCTTCCGCTTCGCTTGAACAGCCTCCTGGCAACCCCGCCACGTCACTTCCGGCGGCACAAGTGAGATGGAGGGGGGTATTGCTTGTCACAGGCAGCTATGATTTGTCTCGTCACATTGGCATCGACTTTCGTCGAGTGAACACCTCCAGTTAAAACAACGTTGTTGTTCGAAAAAATTATATTTATTTAAATTATTAAAGTGTTATTATAATAGTTTGATTTTGTAAAAATCTGCGGAAAAGTATGGGTAAAAGTCCTGAGCGGGCTCCTAGGCCCCGGGATCTTACCCCAACGTCTGAGCACGCTTCTAGGCCTGTCGAGCAACCACAGGTATCTCGTCAGGCTTCTAGGTCACGAGAACGGAAAAATAACCTACCTACGCGGGCTTCTAGGCCACGAAAGCGTCCACGTCGTGTGAGTTCGTCGTCGAGTTCTAGCTCGAGCGGGACTCATAGTGGGTCAACATCATCATCATCATCCAGTCGCTGTCGCAGCGCATCCCGGCGGCATCAGCAACGGAAACGGCGAGTAAATAGTGATAATTTTGAATCATTGACAAATCAAAATAATTTGCAGAATTTGGTAGAATGGTCTCACAAACCAGACACCATTTTGTCGTCAGATTCGTTATTTGATAAACTTAGTGAACTTTTTTCCGAAAGATCTCAGTATATTAAAGTGTCCGAGGACATACTCCAGCTGGTTTGCGGAAGACGAGCTGACACTATACAAAAAAGGCGCGATAGTATATTGTCAAGTGTAAAAGACCGGTACATTAAAGAGGATTTGCGGAAAATCCCGCCTACCCGCACTACTTTGTTTAATTCAGAATTAATGAGCAGTTTTTTATCAAAAGCGGGTGGAACCAACAAGATATTTTATAATAATAAGCGCTCAGCAGATGAGCAAATTATGTCTTTTAAAAGTAAGAATAACGTTTCCCGTGCTAAACGGCTGCGAAAGCCGGCAGCTCGTGATCGTGACTATGACGATAATGACACTACTGGTCCAGGTCCGTCATCAAGTAAACATTATGCTTATAATAATAATAAAAACAAGAAAGTTTCATTTAATAGTAACAAAACCAATTTGAAGTGTCCTGACATTCGTGACGTGAAAAATAATAATTCTCATAACAAAGGCAATACTCGATTTCGCAAATGATATCAAACAAAACTCGTTTTACGGTGGTTGTTTAAAAGATTACATAGAAAGTTGGAAAGAATTAAAAGCTCCAGATCATGTTTTAAAAATAATAGCGGGTTATCGAATCCCATTTCACAAAGTACCGCCATTAATCGGTCACAATCATTTGTTAAAATATCAGACACCTACAAGTGTGGCAATGTCAAGAGAAATTTTAAAACTAAAAAATCTAAATATTCTAATACCCGCACCGCCGACTCCGAGTTTTGTTTGTCCGATATTTCTTGTGAAAAAATCAGATACCAGCAACAGACCAATATTCAACTTAAAGAATCTAAATCAGTTCCTTGTTCAGTTCAAGTTCAGACTGATAAATGTCAATCGAGTACCAGATTTTTTGCAACAGGGAGATTGGGCGATCAAAATAGATTTTTCACAAGCATATTTTCACGTTCCTATTGCTCGCGCTCATCAGCCATTCCTGAGGGTTCTCTACAAATCGGAGAATTCAGCGGAACCAGAGCTTTTGCAGATAACGAGCCTTCCATTCGGTCTTTCGACGGCACCCGTGACGTTTGCAACAGTCACGAATTGGATCGCACAGGTATTGCGCGACAGAGGGATGAGGGTAATCGTATATCTCGACGATTATCGGTTGTCAATCAGAACCAAACAACATTACAATGTCAGGCTGCGGAAGCCGTACAAATTCTGAGTTCACTTGGTTGGAGTGTGAATTACAAAAAATCGATACTGACTCCAACTCAGACCTTCGAATATCTGGGTGTCACCTGGGACACCAGACGAAATATCAAATGCATTCCTGTCGAGAAAAGAATACGCATCGGGACAAGACTAACACATCTTTTAGATCTCGGCCGTTGGTGTCTCAAAGACGCTCAAAGAATTTTGGGGATGCTGAATTTCGCGTCGTTTGCCGTTCCCAGAGGTCGGCTTCATTGCCGCCCTTTACAACACGCAAGTGGTGTCTTACCAAGAGATCGACCTCATTTAAAGTGCCCGATCGACCCTCAGGTTCTAACAGAATGCCGGTGGTGGTTGAAAGCACTGGGGACGACAACGCCCATTCATTATCCTACCGTTGCTCATTTTTTGACAACGGATGCTTCCGGCACCGGCTGGGGTGCACTAATAGACGGAATTCATTGGACTGGCGGTACCTGGCACGCCGAACAAATATCATGGCACAGCAATATCAAGGAAATGTGGGCAATAGTACACGCCGTTCATCAGCATTTAAACCATTTGCGAAATTCGACTGTGTTGGTGCAGTCCGACAACAAGAGTGTGGTAAGCTACATAAGGAACGAAGGCGGACTTCGTTCGAGAACCTTACTACAGATGACTTGGTGTCTATGTCAGCTGCTAGACCAGGACAACATTCATCTTGTTCCTCAATACATTCCCGGACTATACAATGTGGAGGCCGACATGCTTTCCCGACAGAAGGGTCCAGCAGAATGGACGCTCACACAACAAGCCTATCTAAAGGTATTCAACCGCTTTGGAACACCAGAGATCGATCTCTTTGCGTCGCAAAGTGCACACCTTCTCCCACGTTATGTTTCACGAGACTGCACAGATGCGAAAGCAGAGTACCACGATGCATTCAGCAAAGAATGGAATTATCACAAGGCATGGATATTCCCTCCGCCACATCTGGTACCTCGAGTTCTAGCACACCTAAACAGAGCCAGGGGAATGTATCTTCTGGTCGTTCCTCGTTGGAAAAAGGTATTTTGGCGCCCGGATCTGAAACGCAGAGCTGTAGCCGCACCTTGGACAATAACAGATCTGAGACACAATCTAAGAGACACACGAACTCGGAAACCACCAGCTCAAGTAGATCAGATGTATCTCGAAGTTTGGTACATCAGGGGTGGAACCATCTATTGACCAGTTGGTCGGGAGAAGAGATCGAGTTACTAAACTCTAGCTGGAGAAATTCCACTAAAAAAGTTTACTCTTCAATTTGGAATAAATGGCAAAACTGGTGTCAAGACCAACAAATCAATATATATAGTCCGACAGGATCTCAAGTGGCCAAGTACTTAGCAAACCTTCACTTAAGGGACGGTCTCTCTTATAAGACTATATTAGTCTATAAATCTGCCATAGCTACCTTGGCTATTCCTAACGCAGACTCTATAAGCAACGATCCTATTGTCAAGAGAACTCTTAAAGCAATAGCTCTGGCTACTGCCAGCAAAATAGTTAAAAGATCTTTTATATGGGACCCATCCAGTGTAGTAGCCTGGCTGTCAACGAACGTTCCCGCTCGTTTAACACTTTATGAAGTGTCACGTCGTACCGCTCTGATACTACTTATTGCATCTAGCCGCAGGGTACACGACCTCACTCTGCTGCATATCAACGAAGATAATTTCGAAGATCATTCGGACCATGTCATACTGCATCCACGGTTCGGTTCCAAGACCGACAATTATATGCACAGGCAGTCGTCGTGGAAATTGATAAAAGCAGACGACGACAGGACGTGTCCGGTTTATTGGCTTAAGAAGCTGATAGAAGTATCAGCCTGTCGCAGAGAGGAAAAGGATATAACCGAACTATTCATCACAGCGCGTGGCTCAGCGCGACCAGCATCGCGCACTGTGCTTGGCGGCTGGGTGCGGTCACTGCTACGCGCCGCTGGCGTAGAGGCTAGCGCTGGCTCCACACGAAGCGCCGCCGCATCACGTAACTGGCTCGACGATCACCATATCGACGAGGTTACAAAAGGGAATTGGCGTAGTCCTAATACTTTTGTTCGATTTTACGCTTCTGAAATTCGTTACCCCCAAAATTCAGGAATCAATTTATCTAATACTTTCCAAGCCGTTTAAAGTAATTACTTGATTGATTAATTTAATGACTGAGATTGATTTACTAGATTCTATTATTATTATATACCTGCGGAAGGAAAATGAAAATAATACATACATTTGTTTACTTTTTTATTGTTTTATTTCTTTTTATCATTCACACATTGGCATTATCTTTAATTGCTTGCCATCAGGCGATAACAAACACATCTCACTCTATAGGTCTCGAATAACGGTTCAACGCATATAATAGAATGTTTTACCTGAAAATAAAACAGTTATTATATGCAGTAACCTTATTCGAGACCTATATTTTAAATACTGCCTGATGACTAATTCATCTGAACTCCAGTGAGATGCAATGTGACGAGACAAATCATAGCTGCCTGTGACAAGCAATACCCCCCTCCATCTCACTTGTGCCGCCGGAAGTGACGTGGCGGGGTTGCCAGGAGGCTGTTCAAGCGAAGCGGAAGAGATGCTGTCTCACTCTATAGGTCTCGAATAAGGTTACTGCATATAATAACTGTTTTATTTTCAGGTAAAACATTCTATTTTTACATTAGAATGTCGGTGTGACTCATTCTAATGTTTTTGGAGAGTTTGACACGAAATTTATCGAGTTGGCTTTCCGATAAGCTTCTGTGAGGTAGTCAACACTACAATACAGTTCTCACGTCCGCTTGACCGGAGTAGTGTATATTTTAAAGATACTACTAATTTTTAGTTGTTCAGACGATTGTAACACAAAATGACACCATTTTTATTTCACAATATCCACTATGAGCGAATTTAAGGATAATTAAAATAAGTCGCCAACCGCACTCGATAAAATCCCACCAAAAACTCTTCAAATCCTACAAATTATTTAACTTGCCAGTAATAATACATAGTGGCATTAAAAATATCTCTTTTTAGTATTTGGAAGGTTCGAACTTGCATTTGATAACTTTAGACTACATTTTGTTTCTTTTTATTTTTGGCGAGTGAGGCAAAGTGCCACAAGAAACATCGCTCATTTGCTTTACATTGAATGCCCCAGAACGCACAGCAAAATGCTAGTTATGTTCGGAATCATTCATAAATTCTCATCAGGCATTTGTTGAAACACGGGCAACTTGAGGAACAGTGGCCTACTACAGAATTATATTTGATTTTGAGGTTATATTAAACTTAATCGTAAACTATGTACACTTTATATATTTCAGTTTTTAAGGCTCGATTTCAAGACAGACTAGATATCGCACGCTTGAAATTGTGTGGTGTTATTGTCCCTTTATACACAAGCGGCCCATCTCTAATAGGAAGCTTTTGAATTTAGATGAGACAGTGTCTTAATTAGAGCTTGTAACCGGTTTCGAAAATACCGGTTAATAAAGGTTAATATCGGTTTTTAGTAAAGGTTTCCTTCAAAGCACGTCTGAAATAAAAGCGGTACCTAAAACCTTAATAAACTGGTTTAATCCAGAGCGACACGTGCACTTGAAGTTTGTTTTGTTTGAACTAATCAAGTCACAACTTGTTAATGCTCAGAGATTGATGCATTTATTGACGTTTGCTAGCATCTAGTGAGTCAAGTTATTCATTCTGTAGTTGTGTACTGACACACTACTTCACCCATTCGCTCTGTAGTTGGAAAGAAAATGACATAAAATCATTACAAACTTGAATTGAAACGGCGAAGGCGATGCCATCAGTAAGAGCGAAATGAAACCCTTTAAAAACCGCTAAATTTCTATTTATTTCGCTTTTTAGGAAAACCGTTTTTTTAAGGTTAAGGTAGAGCCAAACCTAAATAAAACGCTCCTTATGTACTTGATACTGATTTAGGTTTAATAATTAACCGGTAACCAAGCCCTGGTCTTAATGCTCTTAGGATGACATAACAGCAAATTGTGTAGTAGTTACAGAACTTTGCTTTTATTCGATTTTCTAATACGTAGTAATTTTTAGAGGAAACATGCGTGGACGCATGCGATGCACAGCGACGGCGAAGGCGTCGCCGACACTACTGCCCAGATCATGGTGAGAAACTATATGATTGAAACATTAGTTTATAGAATTCATCAATTAGGTATGGTTCTGAGAGAGAGAGTAGCTAAATGAAACTATCAAAAAAGATTAAAAAAAAATTGAAGCGATTTTGTTTTGATTTCATAAAATAAAAATTGCTTTTCACATAAGCAAAAATATACATAATTATATTTATTTATAACATTTCAGATATTAGTAAAAATACAAGTCGTTTAAATCAATAACTTGTAAATATAACTTCCAATTTCATTTTCAGGTTGTTCCCAAGATTCAGGGAGTTGAGAAACAAACTGCGTTTAGTGAAAAATATATAGTCAGTGTAATTAGCAAAATCAGTTATACATATTAATATGTATACAAAAATTTATACAATAATATTGTTTATTTATAAATATGCAGTTTTTATTCAAGTTCTTCCTATAAACCACAACCAGTGTTGTTGAAACAACAATATTGTGATGATTTTCTTAGTAGGTACCTAACCTAAATAATGTAACTAGTGACTCGTAATATTAACACAAGTTTACATACGCATTCTCTTTTCCTTAGCACTGAGTTGCTCTAAAAAAATGGCGAAACTCCCAGCAGCATATAAAAAGTTTCTCATGCTAGTCGATCGGTATACTTACTAACGCGTCATAATAATTGTCACCTCATTCTGTTAATACAAGGGAATGCGATTAAATACTGGACGTGAACGTTATTCGCCCGCCATCAGTAATTTGCGACGGCAAATTTTCACCGCTAGCTGTGCCCTAATCAGTTTATCTCGTCGACTAAATAGGGGAAAAGGAAAAAAGTCTCAGCCAGACTTTGGGGGAGCACAACTCGGTAATTAAGGATCCGTTCGAAATTTTAAGCCAATTTTTCTATAGCGAATTTAAGCATATTGACAAAAGAATGTCTTTAAAGTAAGGATGTCAAGTCGACAAAGCTACAAAATTAATCTGCTTACAATTAATTTCCCGATGAAAAGGCAGAATTAGGGTAATCGCCATGTAATTGTAGGACATCGGCTTTCCGATTCGCTCAGCTATTAGTTTAATGTATTCGGTACCATAAAGTAACATGGAAGGAAGTAGGTAGCCATAGCGACATAATACTATTTTAATCATTCTCGCAATTTTGGAGGGGGGAATATGCACGCAACTGCAGTTTTACAGACATGCGTAGAAAAACAAAACTGTAATTACGAAACTCACGCATAAACAATGACGCAATACACTGCCAAATCCTGCACACATATATAGTATAGTTTGTATGCCCAATGCGACGGAGGGGAAAGCTGTGTATGCCTACTTCCCTCCGGACATATTACTCTATGATTCTGTGCAGACTGAATCAATTACTAAAATAAAAATGCTCATAGTTTGGATGTGTTGCTAAGTCATACTGGATCCAGATAAAGTAAAATTTGGCACACACGAATTAAAGATTATACCTACCGTGGATCCTTTTTCTCCACGTGAAATTTCCAAGTATCCAGGAGGATACTACACATAGGAATGTGTCCCAAATATTTTTTTTAAACTTGCAGGTGTTTTTTATCACTGGTAAGTATTTTGTAGGATGGTCTAATGTGTCGACTACCGGAAGCAATAAGATGATAATAAGATTACCTGGATCTGGGCATCGAAGCGTCGCCCACTTGATGTTATTATTTTATCTACTTACTTAGGTACTTTGATGCAGACAGGTATGGTTGCATAAGTGTATTAATAGCTACATGTGAAGGAAACATGAAATCTCGGCTATAAACATGAAAATTGAACAGTGTTCTGTTTGTTTTAATACGACTCCTCAAAAACAAGAGTTTTACGTGTGGCGTTTGAGATAGTTACCTTCTTAACATTTTTCTGTAGTGCCTTTTTCTTGTGGTATTACTTCATACCATAGAGCCAATGGTCTTACCATCAAGCGGGCTCCTTATGATTCTTCCTACTAACATTATAGATGTGAAAGTTTGTATGTTTGTTATTCAATCACGGTTTTGAATGAAATTTGGTACGCATATAGTTTATGACCTTGCTTGAAACAGGAAACTATTTATACCGGAGAAATATTAGGTTATTGACGTAACCGACGAAGTTGCGGGCGGCCGCCTTTACAATTTGAAACATCTTAGTAAAAGGTCTTTACTAACCTATATTACAATTTGAGGAGCTGGCGAACAAAACAGTATAATTACATAAAATTAAATTTTACAAGATTTTTTTTGTATAAAACTAAATGCAATACCTACAGTGAGCTTTTGGCATGGTTTTTAATTTATAAATTTAGTCATTTTAACACTTCACACTGAGTTCAACGGGCCAAAAACCTCCGGACTGTAAAAGAAGCAGTTTGACCAGATGCGCAATTATACCGTTTTGTTCGCCAGCTCCTCGTTTGTAATTTTAACAAACTACTGAACATTTTGATCACAACCAAAACAAACTCGAGCACTCGCTCACTGCAACAGACGTAATTTACTTGGAACTAAACTAATAGTATTATAGTTCCTGAACTCGGATTTTATTAATGACTCGCGCTCTGAAGAACGATTAATTTTAATTTTCCAACACGAGAGCTAGCAAGACGCAGTATTACTAGTAACTTACATTAATTAAAAGTTATTATGTTTAGTTTTCGGTCACTCTTATTAAAATGGTTATTTCAACTTCCAAATATTACCTTATAAGCTACGCGTAAGTAATTAAAATGGGCCCGCTAGTGGGTACGTTTAACAGGACCACACGGGTTAACAGTTCTTTAATTCACGGGTACGGAAATGTTTAACTGAATTTTAATAGAGATGGAAATATAATTTTGATAATTATATACTATAATTAGCAAGTATTTACCTCTGGTTGCCACATACATTGTAGGCTGCATTGTGTGATGTCAATTTGAGGAACTGACCAGCATTAACCTGCCATCACATCACTCACAGTCGTTTTCTCGAATTTGAAATTATACACTTCACCATGAGCAGTGTTGCAGCGGTACTTGAAACCCAGAAATCACTGGAGACCATGTTAATGCAAAGAATGCAGCAATTCGAAGTCCAGTTGAAGATGCCATCAGAGAAGAAAAAGGTTCCGCAGATACATGAAGAGTTTAAGGCCTTTAAGGAATTGGTTTGGAGTATCCTGTCACTACTGAGGCAGCAAATCAGTGATATATTGAGATCACTCGACCAGCACGAAGCAAGGCATCGCAGCAAACATCTGCTTCTTTGTGGTGTTCCCGAAAATCCCGATGAAGACTTAAGTTGTACTATAACAACATTGCTCAAGAAACATTTGGGTGCCACAGACCTTGATCCAAGTTCTATAAAACTGTGTCATCGACTTGGATCTTTAACTGAGGGTCGCAACAGGCATGTGGTCTTCCGTTTATCCAATTATGCTCTTAGGTCCTCTGTCTGGAAAAGCAAGTCCAAACTCAAAGGCTCTTCACTTGTCTTGAGGGAATTTCTAACTAAGACTCGTCAAGCCTTGTTCTACTCTGCACGAAACCATTTTGGCATATCCAGTGTGTGGACCATGGATGGCAATATTTGCATTAAGACACCGGATGGCAACCGACTGCGGATTTCCTGCAACGATGAACTCACTGCGGCTATAAACCAGTCTCCTTGTACAGAGATTGTGGACGTTCCGGCGACCAGCAGGCCCGCAGTTGACCCGGAGGTATCCCGACCGATGCCGACGCAAACTCGGTCTAAGCGTTGTGTAAAATCGGTCAAAAAGTGAGTTTTTACTACGTGATTTCAAACTTTTGTATAGCTCTTTCGTCTTCTTTAACAAAATCTGCTTGGATATGTCTTTGCTGGTTTTTTTCTGCTCGCTGCTTTAGTGTTGTCATTGTTTATAGTTATTGTTGCAAGAGGTGGGTAGCTTCACTATCACTGTTTGATTTTATCCATAGTTTTAGATAACATCCGTAATGTTATTGTGAATAGATTTATTCTAACCTTATTTCATAATTTGACACTAACACAGTGACAGATGCTTAATGTCAGTCTTATCTCAGCAGCTCATTACGATACGTTCAGTAACAATAATTTGCCGTAACGAAGGCAAAAACATTATGAAATGAAAAAAATGAAATGAAAAACATTTATTCGGAACAGACGCGGATACATACAAAAGGTTAAATTTATACACACACACACATACATATATGTACATATATGTATACACATACACATATATACATATATATATATACACTAAATGACGGACATTAAAAAACATACATTACATATATCCACAGCTGGACCGAAAAGGATCCAGTTCAGCATGAGTCAGTTTGCACTGACGCTGGTTTTCAACTGGTTCCCTTCCTGATTTGTGGATGCCAGACACTATGATACAAGATTAAAGGATTTTATATTAAATAAAAATGAAATATTACAAATTGTACCAGTGAACAAAATAAAAAGTTAAGTGAGTAACATATTCAATAAACTCATCTAAACAGTAAATAACACAATAACATATTTTCAAGGTAAACAAACGATATGAAACACTGACATATATTTTTTTTTTAATTAATTTGCAGACGACCCAGTTTAAAAACTCATCACATCCACAAAACGCCACATTTGGGAACAACGTCAAATAGCACTTACATATTCTTTTTAAATTGCTTACAACTGTGTTGTGTATAAGAAGTATGACCTGCCACAATCACCGTCAAACCAACAACGCCAATCCAATCAATATGGTCTGGTGCACTGTGTGCCTTTTTGTTTGTTTTTTTTTTAATTTATTTTCAATATTAAAATTAGTTTTTGTTTATTTGTTGTTTTATATGCTTGGTTCTAATTTAGTGTTTAAGTAAGTTTATTTAGTTATATGTAAGACATGTCTATATTTATACTGCCTAATTGTTGTTGTGCATTTTTAAGATATTGACGAAGATGTTTTCTGAACACATAAATGGAGTTACTTACTCTTATAGGGGGTGGGATGTTATTCCAAATCTTTGCTGCTGCATAGCGAAAACTGCCCCTGAAAGATGCTGATCCATGAGACTGAGTAGCAAGCTGCTGGGAGCACTGCCTTTTACAGCTTAGCCAGACAAGCCGATTGTAAAGATATGCAGGTTGCCTAGACCTAATCACTCCAAATAGTAAACATGCCAGATGTAGTTTACACCTAGATTTCATTTTAAGAATTGCGTGTTGGTTCAAGAATGGGGTAATGTGGCATCGGGGAGGTATATTGTAGCAAAACCGCGCACATGCATTTTGCAGTCTTTGAATGAGCTTGTTAGTTCGAGCGAGCAGTCGCGGCCCATACACGATATCGGCGTAGTTCAATTTCGACAGTACGAGTGATTCCGTT